TTTTGACACATTATTTTACACTTTCATTGTTGTCAAGTGTCAATTGGTTGGGAAAATTATTTGAAATTTAAACTGTCCAGCAGGGTAATGTCACATGACAAAGTGTAAACTAAAGTGTACACCATAGTGTTCTTATAGCAAGGTTCTTACTGATTGAACTTTTCTATTTGTACACTGATTTTCGACACGTTGTTTCACACTTGCATTGTTGTCAAGTGTCAATTGGATGGGAAAACTATTTGAAATTTAAACTGTCCAATCGGGAAATGTCACATGGCAAAGTGTAAATTAAAGTGTACACCATAGTGTACATGTAGCAAGGTTTAGACCGATTGAATTTTGCTATTTATACACTGATTTTTGACATGTTATTTGACACTTGCATTACTGTCTATGTCAATTGGATTGGAAAACTATTTGAAATTTAAACTGTCAAATAGAGTACGTGGCATATTGTGTAAAGTAAAATGTACACCATAATATACATGTAGCAAGGTTCTCACCGATTGAACTTTGCTATTTGTACACTTATTTTTGACACGTTGTTAGGTACTCGCGTTGTTGTCAAGTGTCAATTGGATGGGAAAAATTTTTGAACTTTAAACTATCCAACAGGGTAATGACAAATGGCAATGTGTAAACTAAAGTGTACGTCATAGTGCACATGTAGCAAGGTCCTTACCAATTGAATTTTGTTATTTGTACACTAATTTTTGACACATTTTTTTACACTTGCTTTGTAGTCAAGTGTTAATTGGATGGGAAAACTGTTTGAAATTTAAATTGTCAATAGGGTAATGTCACGTGGCAAAGTGTAAACTAAAGCGTACACTACAGTGCACATGTAGCAAGGTCCTTACCTATTGAACTTTGCTATTTCTACACTGATTTTTGACACGTTGTTTGACACTTACATTGTTGTTGAGTGTCGATTGTATTGGAAATCGATTCAAAATTTAAACAATCGATCGTGGTAATGACACGTGGCAAAGTGTAAATTAAAGTGTACACCATAGTGAACCTGTAGCAAGGCTCTTACCGATTGAACTTTGCTATTTGTTCGACAGGTTGTTTGATGCTTGCATTGTTGTCGAGTATCAATTGGATGGGAAAACTATTTTAAATTTAAACTGTCTAACAGGATAATGTCGCGTGGCATAGTGTATACTAAATTGTACACCATAGTGTACATGTAGCAAGGTTCTTACTGATTGAACATTACTATTTGTACACTGATATTGGGCACATTTTTTCACACTTGGATTGTAGTCAAATGTCAATTCGACGGGAAAACTGTTTGAAATTTACACTATCCAACAGTGTAATGTCACGTGGCAAACTGTAAACTAAAGTGTACACCAATGTGTATATGTAGCAAGGTCCTTACCGACTGAGATTTGCTATTTGTACATTGATTTTTGACACGTTGTTTGACACTTGCATTGTTGTCAAGTGCCTATTAGATGGGAAAACTGTTTGAAATTTAAACTGTCCAACAGGGTAATGTCACGTGGCAAAGTGAAAACTAAAGTCTACACCATAGTTTACGTGTACTAAGGTCCTTACCGATTGAACTTTCATATTTGTACACTAATTTTTGACACATTGTTTGACCTTGGCATTGTTGTCAAGTGTCAATTGGATAGGAAAACTGTTTGAAATTTAAACTGTCCAATAGGGTAATGTCATATTGCAAAGTGTAAACTAAAGTGTACACCATAGTGTACATGTTGCAAGGTTCTTACTGATTAAACTTTGCTATTTGTACACTAATTTTTGGCACGTTGTTTGACACTTGAATTGTTGTCAAGTGTCGATTGGATAGGAAAACTGTACGAAATTTAAACTTTTAAATAGTGTAATGTTGCGTGGCAAAGTTAAACTAAAGTGTACACCATAGTGTACATGTAAGGTCCTTATCGATTGAACTTTGCTATTTGCATACTGATTTTGGGCACGTTGCTTGACACTTGCATTGTAGTCAAGTGTCAATTGGATGGGAAAACTATTTGAAATTTATACGGTAATGTTACGTGGCAAAGTGTACACCATAGGTATATATAGCAAGGTCCTTGTCGATTGAACTTTGCTATTTGTACACTGATTTGTGACACATTGTTTGACACTCGCGTTGTTGTCAAGTGTCAATTGGATGGGAAAACTATTTGAAATTTAAACTATCCAATAGGGTAATGACACATGACAATGTGTAAACTAAAGTGTACACCATAGGGTACATGCAGTAAGGTTCTTACCGACTGAACTTTATTATTTGCACACTGATTTTCGACACTTTTTTGACACTTGCATTGTTGTAAAGTGTCAATTGGGCCGGAAAAATGTTTGAAATTTAAACTGTCCAACATGGTAATGTCACTTGGCAAAGTGTAAACTAAAGTGTACACCATAGTGTACATGTCGCAGGGCTCTTACCGATTAAACTTTTCTATTTGTACACTGATTTTCGACATGCTGTTTGACACTTACGTTGTAGGCAACTATCAATTGGATGGTAAAACTATTTCAAATTTAAACTGTCCAATCGGGTAATGTCATGGGGCAAAGTGTTAACTAAAGTATACACCATAGTGTACATGTAGCAGGGTTCCTACCGATTGAACTTTGCTATTTGTACACTGATTTTTGAGACATTGTTTGACACTTGCATTATGGTCAGGTGTCAGTTGGTTGGCTTGAGTTTGATTCTGCCCTTTCTGACATCCTAACACTAAAATTTTATTTTACTGCCTCACCAAAAGTTACTCGAAACACACACAAGGGCTTTTACCCTCTATTAAGCTCACCTCCTGCCTTTTACCACTCAGTTCTTTCAACAATTGCTTCTAGGAACAATCAATGAACTCGATCAATCAATCAATTCGTGTAGAATTTCCCAAACTGGATGTGACTCAATAATTGTAACAAAGGGCTCAAAGAAAACTTTTAAAACATGATTTAAATTGAAGGAATGGAATGATTCAATGTGTCCAAGTAATTTAGAAACGATAATGAATAATAAAAGTTGGTATTTGACAGATCAATAATATTTAACAAGTTTTTTTTTACTGTACGGATGAACGGTACTGTACGGATGAAGAGTAAATTTTTTTTTTTAGATCCAAAAATCAATAACAAAACCAACAAAGAAAACGAAAACTGATTCGGGCGAAAATTGAGCCCAAAAATGGAATTTGAAGATTTTTGATAAAACTTTTAGATCAAAGATCAAGAAAACCTTCTGGACACAAGAACACAAGGAATTGAAAAAAAAATTAGAAAATGAAGGATATAACCTGATTAAATTGGAGCCAAAGCTCTGATACCAACTGATACGAACCCCGTAGCAATGGAAACTACGAAACCCACAACGAGATTGATGTGAAACCTAAGAATGCCAATACTAACCCGGTTTTGGATCTTGAATCCCAAGAATTGAACCAAGAAACCCTAGATTAGCGAAGAACATAAAACCCCTTGATTACAATTAAAAGAACCCACAATCCGATTGATTAGAACGCCACAAGAAGTTGAATCTTGATAAGTTCCAAGATTGTTCAAGAAGAACAATAAATTGAAAGAATAAATTTCTCTCTCTATAATATTAATTCAAGCAAGAGTCAGAAGTTCAAAGTTGTTACAATGAAAAGTAATCTCCTATTTATACTAATGAATAAAAACGTCCAAAACCATCAAATTATGGTAATAATTTGATTTCATAAGAATTCTATCGAAAATAGGAAATTCGGCCAAAATTAGAAAATTCGCCAATTTTTTTGGCTTGTGCGGCCGCATGGTGTAAATCCATGCGGTCGCATGGTTCAACAAAAAAAACAATATTGGTTTTCAGTATACCACTGTGCGGCTGCATGATGTTTTCCCTTGGGCCGCCGCATAGGCTTATCTTCAGCCTCCGGTTTCTTCGCTTGAAAACAAATTGATCCAAGTTGATTCAGCCTTCGACTCGAACATGAAAGTTGCTCCATTTTGAGTCCTGAGCATGATTTAATCAATGGTTTCTTGAACGAGCTGTAACATCCCGAAAATTTTAAAATAAAAACATATTTGTTTTAAATAAGAGTTTTATTAGTTATATTGTTCGTTTGTATTAAAATAAATTAAGCCTTGTATCCTATGCAATTAGGAGTCCATCTTATCTTAATGTGTGCATGCATGGATAATGATAACTTAATTGGAAATAAATAATTCAAGGAAATGTATTTAATATGTATTTTTTTTATAACGTACCTTTTAAGATAATTAGCAAATTAAGATTATAATATTTTATTATATAGTCACGTTTAAAATTCCTCTTTACATCCTGTTTCCTCCATTAGATGTATTATTTTAAAATTTAATCTTATCCCAAGTCTATCTTTTTTATTTGAATACCTACTGTAACAAGAATCAGATTCTACTACTTGTATGCACGTGCATTTTGTGTATCTTTTTTTTTATCCTATAAACTTTGTCAATTGTATTCAGTTCACAGTAATCCATATGAATCTGTTCCACGTGGTTTGGTTGTTATTTTTTAAAAAAATCGTATCCTTGTATTCAAATATATGAAACAAGATCTGAATTATTAATTTCAAATAAATCTGTTATAATTTTTTTCGCGTGTGGTTTAATAATTCGACTTACCGTTAAATTGTGAATATATCTAATTTAATTTTAATCAATTTTATTTTTATTTTTATTTTTTGAATCGCAAAAGGATATCCGTAGCAAATCCTTTTATATAGCATGTGGATAAAAATGTTTAGTATCTACAAAAAAAATCTATACGGATAGCACCCAATAAAATTTAAATAAATTATCCTAAACCTAATCAACAACCTTATGTTTGCCTATAAATACTGATGCCACACACATATTTTTACCATGAATCCCACTTCTTTAGTTTTGATTTCATTCCTCAAGTTCAGGAGAAACCCTTATTGTATTCATATTCTACCAAAAATTATAATTCCCTTGCCCCTTTAATTCCATCTATTACATACACATACACGGCAACAATTGCATGGACAGAAAATAAACATTTGGAGCTTGATTCTTGGATCTTGTTTTCAGAATTCGTTGATTTAACGAGGTAGGATACTATGTGCAAGTGATTCATCCTTGCAATATTATAATTTTTTTTATGTGATTTATTTCATGAAATACTAATTGATCTGCGGGTCACTATGAAATGAAATATGAGATCGTCTTCGGGTCTTCTCAAATGTACTAGAGCTTTCGATTGATCACCGATTGCTTTTGATGAAATGATGGTATGGAATGTTATAGATTCATGTTTTAAAAGTTATCATATTGTTTTGGACGCACGTATCCTACTGAGTATAAATTACTTACTCCTTCCATTTTAACTTTTCAGGTCAGATTGGTCAACGTGGATGGTGGCTGAGTGGTGCGCAGGTTGCCAAGTAAAAGAAACTTTTAGGAATCCATAATAAATTTGTTAGGCCATTTTATGTTTCTCTTCAATTCCATTCATGACGCTATGTTTATTTGATTCAGTATTTGAGTTTCAATAAATTAAGGTATTAAATTTTAAATTTTATTTCCACTTGATGTATGATTATGGAATGATATCGGTAACTCCTCAAATTTAAGTCAATAACATTTGGGGCGTAACACGAGCAATCCCATCACTTGTTTCACTTGCTTTGCCCTTGACCGCGTCATTGGTCCGCCATCGACTATCAACGGGTCTCATCTCGCACTTGCCTTCATTGGACTCTGCTCATAGATAATTTCCAACAAGATAATGTCACGTGGCGAAGTGTAAACTAAAGTGTACACCATAGTGTACATGTCGCAAGGCTCTTATCGATTGAACCTTTCTATTTGTACACTGATTTTTGACACGTTGTTTGAAACTTACATTATTGTTTAGTGTCAATTGGATAGAAAAATTGTTTGAAATTTAAACTGTCCAATCGGGTAATGTCACGGGACAAAGTGTAAACTAAAGTGTACACCATAGTGTATATGTAGCAAGGTTCGTACTGATTGAACTTTGCAATTTGTACACTAATTTTTGACACGTTGTTTGACACTTGCATTGTGGTCAAGTGTCAATTAGATGGAAAAACTGTATGAAATTTAAACAGTCCAACAGGGCACATGGCATAGTGTAAACTAAAGTGTACACCATAATGTACATGTAGCAAGGTTATTACCGATTGAACTTTGCTATTTGTAAACTGGTTTTGACACGTTGTTTCACACTTGCTTTATAGTCAAGTGTCAATTGGATGGGAAAACCGTTTGAAATTTAAACTGTCCAATAGGATAATGTCACATGGCAATGTTTAAACTAAAGTGTACACCATAGTGTACATGTCGCAAGGATCTTACCGATTGAACGTTGCTATTTGTACACTGATTTTCGACACGTTGTTTCTCACTTGCATTGTTATCAAGTATCAATTGGATGGGAAAGCTGTAAGAAATTTAAACTGTCCAATAGGGTAATGTCACGTGGGAAAGGGTAAACTAAAGTGTACGCCATAGTGTACATATAGCAAGATTCTTACCGATTGAACTTTCTATTTGTACACTGATTTTTGACACGTTGTTTCACACTTGCATTTTTGTCAAGTGTCAATTGGATGGGAAAGCTGTTCGAAATTTAAATTGTCCAACAGGGTAATGACCCGCGGCAAAGAGTAAACTAAAGTAATAGTGTACATGTAGCAAGTTTCTTACCGATTGAACTTTGCTATTTGCACACTGATTTTGGACACGTTTTATGCTTGCATTGTAGTCAAGTGTATTGTCACGTGGCAAAGTGAAAACAAAAGTGTACACCATAGTATACATGTAGCAAGGTTCTTACCGATTGAACTTCACTATTTGTACAATGACTTTGGACACGTTGTTTCACACTTTCGTTGTAGTTTAGTGTCAACTGGATGGAAAAATTGTTTAAAAATTTAAACTTTCAAACAGTGCAATGTCACGAGGCAAAGTGTAAACTGAAGCGTACACCACAGTATACATATAGCAAGGTTCTTACCGATTGAACTTTGCTATTTGTACACTTATTTTGGACACGTTGTTTGACACTTGCATTGTAGTCAAGTGTCATTTGGATGGGAAAACTGTTTGAAATTTAAACTGCCCAATAGGGTAATGTCATGTAGTAAAGTGTACACAATAGTGTACATGTAGCGAGGTCCTTACCGATTGAACTTTGCCATTTGTACACTGATTTTGACACATTGTTTGACACTTGCATTGTTGTCAAGTGTCAATTGGATGGGAAAGCTGTTTAAAATTTAAACTGTCCAACAGGGTAATGACACGTGGCAAAGTGTAAACCAAAGTGTACACCATAGTGTTCTTGTAGCAAAGTTCTTAGCAATTGAACTTTGGTATTTGTACACTGATTTTTGACACATTGTTGGACACTTGCATTGTTGTGAAGTGTCAATTGGATGGGAAAATTATTTGAAATTTAGATTTTCCAACAGGGTAATGTCACGTTGCAAACTGTAAACACGTTGCAAACTGTAAACTAAAGTGTACACCATAGGGTACATGTAGTAAGGTCCTTTCCGATTGAACTTTCCTATTTGTCCAGTTATTTTCGACACGTTGTTTGACACTTGAAATTGTTGTCAAGTGTCAATTGGATGGGAAAATTGTTGAAATTTAAACTCTCCAATAGGGTAATTACATGTGGAAAAGCATAAACAAAAGTGTACACCATAGTGAACATCTAGCAAGGTTCTTACTTATTGAACTTTGCTATTTGTACATTTATTTTTGACACGTTATTTGACACTTCCGTTGTTGTCTAGTGTCAATTGGATGGGAAAAATATTTGAAATTTAAACTGTCCTGTAAGGTAATGTCACGTGGCAAGGTGTAAATTGAAGTTTGTACAACGTAGTATACATGTCACCAAGTTCTTTCCGATTGAACTTTCCTATTTGTACACTGATTTTTGCCACGTTGGTTGACACTGTCAATTGGATGGGAAAGCTGTTTGAAATTTAAACTGTCCAATATGGTAATGACACGTGGCAAAGTGTAAATTAAAGTGTACACCATTGTGTTCTTGTAGCAATGTTCTTAGCGATTGAACATTGCTATTTGTACACTAATTTTTGACACATTGTTGGACACTTGTATTGTTGTGAAGTGTCAATTGGATGGGAAAATTGTTTGAAATTTATATTGTCCAACAGGGTAATGTGACGTTACAAACTCTAAACTAAAGTGTACACCATAGGGTACATGTAGCAAGTTCCTTTCCGATTGAACTTTACTATTTGTACACTTATTTTCGACACGTTGTTTGACACATGCATTGTAGTCAAGTGTCAAATAGATGGAAAAACTATTTGAAATTTAAATTGTCCAATAGTGTAATGTCACGTGGCAAAGTGTAAACTAAAGTGTACACTATATGTACATGTAGCAAGGTTCTTACATATTGAACTTTGCTATTTGTACACATATTTTTGACACGTTGTTTGACACTTGCATTGTTGTCAAGTGTCAATTGAAATTTAAACTGCCCAACAGGGTAATGTCATGTTGCAAAGTGTAAACTAAAGTGTACACCATAGTGTACATGTTGCAAGGTTCTTACCGATTGAATACACTGATTTTTGATGCATTGTTTGACACTTGAATTATTGTCAAGTGTCAATTGGATGGGAAAACTATTTGAAATTTAAACTATCCAACAGGGTAATGTCATGTAGTAAAGTGAAAATTAAAGTGTATATCATAGTGTACATGTAACAAAGTTCTTACCAATTGGACTTTGTTATTTGTACACTGATTTTTGACATGTTGCTTGACACTTGCATTGTTCTCAAGTGTCGATTGGATGGGAAAACTGATATTTGTACACAGATTTTTGACATATTGTTTGACACTTGCATTGTTATCAAGTGTCAATTGGATGGAAAAACTATTTGAAATTTAAACTGTGCAACAGGGTAATGTCACATGGTAAAGTGTAAGCTAAAGTGTTCACCATAGTGTACATGTGGTAAGGTTCCTACCGATTGAGCTTTCCAATTTGTACGCTGATTTTAACACGTTGTTTGACACTTGCATTTCGTCATGTGTCAATTGGATGGAAAAATTGTTTGAAATTTAAACTGTCCAACAGGGTAATGACAGGTGGGAAAGTGTAAACTAAGGTGTACTCCATATTGTACATGTAGCAAGGTTCTTACCAATTGGACTTTGCTATTTGTACACTGATTTTTGACACGTTGTTTGACACTTGCATTGTTGTCAAGTGTCGGTTGGATGGGAAAACTACTATTTATACACTGATTTTTGACACATTGTTTGACACTTGCATTGTTGTCAAGTTTCAATTGGATAGGAAAATTATTTGAAATTTAAACTATCCAGCAGCGTAATGTCGCGTGGCAAAGTGTAAACTTAAGTGTGTACACTATAGTGTACATGTAGCAAGGTTCTTAACGATTGAACTTTGTTAGTTCTACACTTATTTTTGACACATTGTTTGACACTTGCATTGTTGTCAATAGTCAAGTGTCAATTGGAATGGAAAACTGTTTGAAGTTTAAACTATCCAACCGGGTAATGACACGTGACAATGTGTAAACTAAAGTGTACACCATAGTGTACGTGTAGCAAGGTTCTTACCGACTGAACTTTGTTATTTGTACCCTGATTTTTGACACATTGTTTTACACTTGCATTGTTGTCAAGTGTCAACTAGATGGAAAAACTATTTGAAATTTAAACTGTCCAACAGGGTAATATCACGTGGCAAAGTGTAAACTAAAGTGTGTACACCATAGTGTACATGTAGCAAGGTTCTTACCGATCGAACTTCGTTATTTGTACACCTATTTTGGATACATTGTTTGACACTTGCATTGTAGTCAAGTGTCATTTGGATGTTAAAACTGTTTGAAATTTAAACTCCCCAATAGGGTAATGTCATGCGGCATAGTGTACAGAATAGTGTACATGTAGCAAGGTCCTTACCGATTGAACTTTGCTATTTGTACACTGATTTTGACAGGTTGTTTGATACTTGCATTGTTGTCAAGTGTCAGTTGGATGGGAAAACTGTTTAAAATTTAAACTGTCCAACATGGTAATGACACGTGGCAAAGTGTAAACTAAAGTGTACACCATAGTGTTCTTGTAGCAAGGTTCTTACCGATTGAACTTTGCTATTTGTACATTGATTTTTGACACGTTGTTGGACACTTGCATTGTTGTGAAGTGTCAATTGGATGGGAATTTTTTTTTAAATTTAGATTGTCCAACAGGGTAATGTCACATGGCAAAGTGTAAACTAAAGTGTTCACCATAGTGTACATGTCGCAAGGCTCTTACCGATTGAACTTTTTCATTTGTACATTAATTTTTAACACGTTGTTTGACACTTACATTGTTGTCAAATGTCAATTGGATGGAAAAACTGTTCGAAATTTAAATTGCCTGATCGGGTAATGTCATGGGGCAAAGTGTAAACTAAAGTGCACACCATAGTGTACATGTAGCAAGGTTCCTACTAATTGAACTTTGCTATTCGTACACTGATTT